ATAATAAACGGTTTCTTAACTTTGTGACCAGGTGAGTTGCATCTTGCGTAAACACAAAAAGCTGCTCAGATCTTAAAAAATACCAAGACCAATTACCAGTTTGAATTGAAAACATAGAAGAATCAACATGTACATCAAAATTCGATAAGCTTGCATAGAATCCAGACATCAAACGCATAGCACGAAAATATTTATTATCAGCATCTAAAGTATCACGAAGAAGAAAAAAAATTAAAAGTATGTATCTTGTTTTCTATTTCATCAACATAATATTGTAATAAAAAAGTCTTTTATAATGAACGATATCTTTTTATTCGATTATTTTTTGTAAAGATAAAATGCTGAATGTCCATCGGAACTTTTGATTCTATGTAATTTTGAAAACAAACTGGTCTTTTTATTTTCTTTTAGTGTTTTGAAGCGGGAATTAAACGAACTATTTAACGGTGATTTCAAATAGCTATGAATGAAATGTTTAATCTCTGGAAATGACTTGAATTTACCGATGGGAAATCCGAGAATTCGCACATTTTGTTCAATAGAATTCTTGTGAATGAATAGCCATCGCCTAAGAATATCTAATGATGTATATTTACTGCTGGTGCCATAGCCAGCGAGAATAAAATTTGGTGGTGCTACTGTTTGATTGGGTGGTGGAATGGCTTGAACACAATGAATGTTCAATATTGGAGCCTTTTCATTTTTATCCATCCACAACTTTAATTGAGATATTGAATCTGTTTTAAAATGACATGGTGATGGAACACCACCAGATAGAGGAGTTGAAAAACCTATAAAACTATTTGTATGCATGTCGTATTTGATCCGTCGCACCACACCTGTGCCTAGAATGTTATAAAAGATCAATTAATAAATTCTCAAGGGGAAAACGACAGACTCCAGAACTTCAGGAATTTCAGAGACTTCATGGGACTCCATTATATTCGCGGAGTTCCTTGGAGCCCTATGGAATCGAATAGAATCTAATGGAGCTCCTTAGAATTCAAGAGTTCTGGAGTCTTCTGTTTCCTCGTTATAAATCCCATTTCTTATTTGTTTGTCTTAAACAGTGTTAATTCACTGTTGCTGCTATTATCAAGAGAATAGAGATGAGTAAAGCAAACCTTCTCTATCATTTAGTAAAGACATAGTTCAAATTTCAACAATCAAACAAAGCTGATTTTCTAAATGAAAAGCACTTTTGTTTCAAGTGGACTGAAGGGGCTTTCAAAGG